TCCGCAAACTGCGGGTCGCGACCCACCAGTGGGTACGCAAAAATATATTTGTGTGTCAAGAGCCTTGACAAAAATCACAACATTTTAGATAGACCCTTTTAGAGACCATATCGGCATTAGGATACACTGAAATACAGTTTATTTTGTGATACATTTCGTCGAAATGTCACCTCATAACTAAGACCATGACTAAACTTGACAAAAACGTTATATTTGAGCGCGCATATCTCCACTCCAACTTTTCCGCTTTGATGTCTTAAGCTACCTAGCTATGCGCGTATAGTCAAACTTCCTAATCAATCTAGTTTAGGAGCCATTAAGTTCATGTGGGTTCGCGTGAATTATGGGGATTCCCCGTGAAGCGCGTTCAAGATAACTTTTTATTTTTGGTGAAGACCCTTAAGTATTTCTTGATATTTGCTCATTTAATTCCGATGAAATAATGAAATAGGTACCTGGGAATAGTTTTATGATGAACAGACGTACAAATAATTCCATAATTTTCATTTTGTGCCTGCCTGGTGTATTATGATTAAGATAAAAGAGGAAAAAATAGGGGTCTTCATTTTTGGGTCTTCGTTTTATAGACACTCATATAGGGCCGAGCCGAGAGTCTTCGTTTTATAGACACCCATATAGGGTGTCTATAAAAGGAAGACCCTTGGATATTTCACAAACAGACGTCCAAATAATTCCGTAATTTTCATTTTGTGACTCCCTGGTGTATTATGATTAAGATAAAAGAGAAAAAATAGGGGTCTTCGTTTTTAAGTCTTCGGTCTTCGTTTTATAGACACCCATATAGGGTGTCTATAAAAGGAAGACCCTTAAGTATTTATTTGTTTTCCTCAATTTATTCTGATTAAATAATGAAATATGTACCTGGGAATAGTTTTATGATGATTTGGAAATACTTCCAATGAAATAATTGAGAAATAATTGTAGGTCTTCGTTTTATAGGTCTTCGGTCTTCGTTTTGTAGACACCCATATAGGGTGTCTGTAAAACGAAGACCCTTGGAAATTTCACAAACAGACGTCCAAATTATTTTGTGACTGCCTGGTGTATTATGATTAAGATAAAAGAGAAGAAATAGGGGTCTTCGTTTTTGGGTCTTCGGTCTTCGTTTTATAGACACCCCATGTTTGTCTGTACAAAACATATTTTGTAACGGACAAAACATGTTTTGTTGAGACAAAACCATGTTTGTACAAAACATATTTTGTAAAGGACGAAACATGTTTTGTCGAGACAAACATGGCTTTTTCATTTACAAAACATGTTTTGTACAGACAAATATGGTTTTGTCAATTACAAAACATGTTTTGTACAGACAAACATGGTTTTGTCTTTTGCAAAACATGTTTTGTGAGGACACCCATGGTTTTGTCATTTACAAAACATGTTTTTCCTCACAAAACAGGTTTTGTCGAGACAAAACTTATTTTGTAATGACAAAACCATGTTTGTCGAGACAAAACATGTTTTGTAAATGATAAAACCATGTTTGTCTGTACAAAATATGTTTTGTCTCGACAAAACATGTTTTGTCTCGACAAAACATGTTTTGTGAGGACAAAACATGTGTAGGGGCTCATACAGTCTTCGCAGAGACTATTGACCTGAGGTCATTATGTACTACACGAGGCTCTCACACACGCACACACACACATTCATTCACGATCGACTAGACGAGAGGAATGACAGTACAGTGGACTGACAGACGAATTACATTGACAATCATTTTCACTTACTCCTCAAGGATCCGTACCTCTTGTAGAACGCAGATTGATAAGTATATTTTATACTTAACCAAAGTGGTGACCCCGACGTGCGGTATTGTGTCCGAGCCGAGTTCTGATTGCATTCTCTTTCGTCTTTTCTACTTGCTAGTTTTGGTGTGTTTTGGCCCAGTATGGCTACTCCTGGTAAAATGGCGGCGTCGCTGCCTGATGGGGCTACTGGCACTGTTAATACAGCTCCTACAAAACAGCATTTGGGCCCGTCTGTAGGCCACGCCCCTGTTCAATCTCCGACTGTAGGCGTAGTACCAGCTCCTAGTCCAGCTGCTACATCCCCGCGGTAGGCCTAGGTCTAGCCTCCTTTAGCTTAAAATTACCGCCGTTTTGGCCCAACGATCCTCTTATTTGGTTTGCCCAAGTTGAGGCTCAGTTCGTCAATATAGGGATTACTGTCGAAGCGACACGCTATGCTTATGTTATTGCTTTTCTCCAGCCTTAAATTGCACAGGAAGTGCGAGATTTATTGCTTAATCCTCCCCAAGATATGCCGTATACCATGTTGAAGGATGAGCTGGTGAAACGAACATCCATGTCCGAGCAGAAACGCTTACACCAACTTTTAACCCCCGAGGAACTGGGGACCGTAAGCCAAGTCAGTTATTACGCAAGATGCAACAGTTGTTGGGGGAGCTTGAACTGGAGCCTTCTATTTTGAAGCAACTGTTTGTGCAACGATTGCCAACCAATGTTCAACTAATACTGGCCTCCACAAGAGATGACATGCCACTTAATGACTTGGCAGCGTTGGCGGACCGAATTGTGGAGGTCGCACCACCGCCCCTACGACTATTGCCACATTGTCACCCGTCTCAGATGGTGCTTTAACCGGTAAGGTTTTGGACGTAGCTCCGTCTCCCCCTCCCACGGTTGCACTAGTTTCGGCCCCTCGCCCTAGTTCCTGTCGTGTATACCCCGTTGAAGGCCCCTCGGAAATTCAGCAACTGCGTGATGAAGTGAGTAAACTAACTTCTCTTGTAGCCTCACTTACCCACCAGGTTCGGAGTAGGAGCAATAGTCGGCAACGACAATCACATACTCCATCCCCATGCCTGGTGCATATCCTTTGTTGGTATCATGCTCGCTTTAGCGAGGCTGCGCGCAGCTGCCGTTCCCCCTGCTCATTCAAACCTTCAGGAAACGCCAAGGCCAGCAAATAGATGCGACGACTTCGACTGGCATTTTGGAGGAAAGTTACCTATTTCATGTTTTTGGCAATTATCACGCATTATCATGCTCTACTATTGATTATGCAGTGATGGCCAATGCACAGCAGATGGATGGAGAATTGCAGGAGCAAAGTGTTAATCCTGTGTTCCAACACCTACAGGAGAGAGTACTATTGTGTGTGACATGACTACAGGACACCCTTGCCCTTTTGTCCCGCCAAGAGCAGGTATAGTACCTGTCTCTTATACACATCTAGATGTGTATAAGAGACATGTATAATCCTGTGTGTGGTCATCACCCAAAATGCATGCATGAGAAACGAAAAATACATAACATTGACTTGATATAACATAAGCAATGTGCAGGGAAGTACTGTTGCGTTTCTGACTTATACATATTTTTATTTTACACACACACACACACACACAATAGTTTAACTAGTACCGTATATTTGTGTACTCTAGAGCCTATATAGCTAGCTTTTCCCTTATTCTTCCACAAACCCTCGAAACCTCTGCTACCAACAAAAGCCAAATACTGTACTGTACATCATGACCTTAAACTCTTATATAGGGTGATGAATGCAAATTCGGGCTTCAGCGATGGACTACACTGTGATTGTGATTGGTGGTTTGAAATCAGCGATTGTGATTGGTGGTTGGAAATCAGCGTAGCGGAATCTACATGTTAAATTTCAAAAACACTTTCACCCACCCTCTACCAAATATATGAGGCGTGGATTTAGAAAGGGATATGATAGTTTGTCTTGTCACTGAAAAAAACCCTTCGAAGCCTCTGCTATCAAGAAAAGCCAAATAAAATACTGTACTGTACATCATGATCGTAAACTCTTATATATGGTGATGTCTGTAAATTCAGGCTTCGGCGATGGACATCATTGCGATTGTGATTGGTGGTTTGAAACCACTGTGCTGTGATAGCGCCATAGGAATCTACATGTTACATGTTAAATTTCAAAAACCCTTTCACGACGTTTACCCACCCACCCTCTCATTCTACCAAATATATGAGGCGTGGAGGCGGTATGAGTTATGAATATGAAATTAAATTTAATGTCAATGTGTGTATTGTTCATAGCAAATATATTGTAACACTATTAAAAATACAACTACAGGTAATATATATCCGTGTACATAGCTTAGTCTTTCCTTACTGTTAATCCAAATTTTCACTAACCGCGAAGGCTCTATCAACTAAACACAAAATACTGTACTGTACATGTCGAATGCCGACCTTAAACTCTTATATAGGCTGATGTATGCAAATTCAGGCCTCAGCGATGGACATCATTGTGATTGGTGGTTTGAAATCACTGCGCTGTGGTAAGCGTAGCGGAATCTACATGTTAAATTTCAAAAACCCTTTCACGATGTTCACCAACCCTCTCTTTCTACCAAATATATGAGGAGTGGATTTAGAAGGGGTATGGTAGTTGGTCCTGTCACTGAAAAAAAACCCCTCGAAGCCTCTGCTATCAACAAAAGCCAAATACATCATGATCTTAAAACTCTTATATAGGGTGATGTCTGTAAATCAGGCTTCAGCGATGGACACATTGTAATTGGTGGTTTGAAACCACTGTGCTGTGTCTAGCGTAGCGGAATCTACATGTTAAATTCCAAAAACACTTTCACGTCGTTCCCCCACCCACCCTCTTTCTACCAAATATATGAGGTGTGGAGGCGGTATGAGTTATGAATATGAAATTAAATTTTCTCTCAATGGCAATGTATGTCCGTGTACATTGCTAAGTCTTTCCTTACTTTTATTCCAATGTTTACTAACCGCGAAGGCTCTATCAACACAAGTACATGCCGATCTTAAACTCTTATATAGAGTGATGTATGCAAATTAAGGCTTCAGCTAGGGACATCATTGTGATTGGCTAGATAAGCATATGCGCATCTGTAAAAGCTTAGGAATTGTTCTTTCCGCCAAAACCTATTGCGGACGAAATATTTGCAAGGCTGCTGTGCAGCAAAGTAAATTTCAGCGGACTGATTTTGGCTTATGTCGACTACATTTGTAATTATGAGGCCAAAATCAGTCCGCCGGACCGATTTTTGCCCGGGACCAAATTTTTCCTGACAGGCCTATCATCAGATCCCTGTGCACCCCGACGATGTCAAGAAGACTGCAGTTACCACGCCCTTTGGCCTATTTGAATTTTTGCTCATGCCCTTCGGCCTTCGCAATGCTGCGCAATCTTTCCAACGGTTTATTGACAGTGTTGTGTGCAAGGACTGGATTTTGTTTACGCCTATTTAGATGATTTGTTGGTCTCGGCTGAGCACGAGAGTTACCTCCGTCAGTTATTTACACGGCTCGACGAGTTTTGTTTAATAGTAAAACCATCGAAATGCGTACTGGGTGTTCCTGACCTGGAATTCTTAGGCCATTCAGTGAGCTCAGCTGGTATTCGTCCCCTTCATAGTAAGGTAGAAGCTATCGAAAAGTTCCCAATTCTTGACACGGTTAAACAGCTTTGAGAGTGCCTAGGGTTAATCAATTATTACCGTCGGTTCGTTCCTCACTGTGCCGAGCTTATACGCCCATTAACTGACTTGCTTAAAGGGCAACCTAAACGGAAGGTGCAGCTACCTCCTGATGCTGTGACTGCTTTTCATGCGATAAAGGCAGCATTGTCTACGGCATCCCTCTTGTTTCACCCTCGGGCAGACGTTGATCTCTGCTTAGTTGTTACATCGGATTTTGCATTAGGTGGTGCTCTTCAACAGCTGGTCGATGGAGTTTGGTCGCCTCTCGGTAATTCTTTCTCTTGTCGATTGACGCCAGCCGAGAGCAGGTATAGTACTTTCGGTAGGGAGCTGCTTGCAGCTTACTTTAGGCATTCGACATTTCAGGTACCTTTTGGAGGCTCGGTCATTCTTTATTCTCACAGACCATAAACCCCTTACATTTGCACTTCGTACAAGTTCCGACAGATACTCCCCCAGGGAAATCCGTCATTTAGACTTTATTTCCCAGTACACTAGCGACTTACGGCATGTTAAAGGATCGCAGAATGAATTAGCAGACGCATTATCCCGCATTACTATTAGTGCCCTTTCTACTATTGATTATGCAGCGATGGCCAGTGCACAGCAGATGGATGGAGAATTGCAGGAGAGTACTATTGTGTGTGACATGACTACAGGACACCCTCGCCCTTTTGTCCCTCAGATTATGCGTCGCACTGTTTTTAATGCATTACATTCATTGTCCCATACCGGTGTTCGGGCTACATTGAAATTAGTTAGTAACCGTTACGTGTGGCCTGGTATGAACAAGGATGTCCGTCAGTGGGCAAAATCATGTTTGCAGTGCCAGAGGTGTAAGGTGCATCGACATTTCATAGCTCCTTTAGGTACATTCAGTTCCCCAGACGTTAGGACCATGTCCATATCGATCTTGTCAGACCCCCTCCCCTCTTCAGAGAGCGTTACATACCTTCTAACATGTATCGATCGTTTCACAAGCTGGCCGGAACCGGTTCCCATCACCAATATTACAGCCGAGACGGTTGCTAAAGCTTTTGTTTCCACTTGGGTTTCACGGTTTGTTGTTCCATCAACACTTACTACCGATCGAGATAGGCAGTTCGAATTTGCTTTATTTAATTCTTTAGTTGGTTTCTTAGGAACTCGGCGCATACGCACCACCGCTTATCACCCCATAGCCAACGGATTAGCGGAGCGGTTCCACCGTCAGTTGAAGGTGTCATTAAAGGCCCAAGACGCAGTTAAGTGGACGGAGTCCCTACCTTTAGTCATGCTTGGTGTTCGTACTATCATTAAGAAAGATTTAGGTTGCTCACCAGCTGAGCTTGTGTATGGTGCTTCGATAGCTTTACCTGGAGAGTTTGTTTCGCCTTCTCCGCCTTCGGGTGACTTGAATCCTGCCGACTATGCTGACAGAGTTAAGCAGATTTTCCAGCACGTTGCATGTACGCCTACGAGGGTCCACCGGCGACCCTCCCAGTTGCATAAGGATTTGTCTTCTTGCTCCCATATTTGGTCCGTGTTGACCGGGTACGTACGCCACTGCAGCCCCTTATCGTGGTCCATTTCCAGTTTTGAAGCTCGGCGACAAGCATTTTGTATTGGATATCAATGGCCGTCAGGACACCGTCAGTATAGATCGTCTTAAAGTAGCCTATTTAGATACTGACTTCGAGACAAGTACGACTCTACCTCACATGACCCCCCCCCCCTCCGGCAGTACCCATGTTTGTACCTCAGCGGCAGACACGCCGGGGACGACGTGTTAGGTGGCCTGCTAAATTGGCGGACTTTTCACTTGATTAAACCATTTCTCGCTTCGCGAGTTTTCATTTTGTGTTTGTATTTATAGTTCATAGTTAGATTTTTGTGTTCTTTGTTCTTAGTTCGATCGGTTATCGTTTTCACCGATCAAGGGGGGAGCTCCTGTAGGGGCTCATACAGTCTGCACAGAGACTAGTTACCTGAGGTCATTATGTACTAAACGAGTCTCTCACACACACACACATTCATTCACGACCGACTAGACGAGAGGAATGACAGTACAGTGGACTGACAGACGAATTACATTGACAATCATTTTCACTTACTCCTCAAAGATCCGTACCTCTTGTAGATCGCAGATTGGTAAGTATATTTTATACTTAACCAAACATGTTTTGTAAATGACAAAACCATGTTTGTCCTCACAAAACATGTTTTGTCTCGACAAAACATGTTTTGTTAATGACAAAACCATGTTTGTCTCGACAAAACATGTTATGTAAATGACAAAACCATGTTCGTCTCGACAAAACATGTTTTGTGAGGACAAAACCATTTTTGTCTGTACAAAACATGTTTTGTCTCGACAAAGCATGTTTTGTATATGACAAAACCAAATTTGTCTCGACAAAACATGTTTTGTAAATGAAAAAACCATGTTTGTCTACACAAAACATGTTTTGTTAAAGACAAAACCATGTTTGTCTGTACAAAACATTTTTTTATTAATGACAAGACCATGTTTCGACACACTATACCTCTTTTTGTCATGTTTATAGGGAACAGACATGGTTTTGTCTCTTACAAAATACGTTTTGTAAAAGATGTTTAATGTTAAAGAAAAGCTGAAATTCGATATTTTCAATCCCATTTTAATTAATTTAAAAACCTCTATCATATTTCCTCTAATCCTCCTGCCTTCGAGTAAAGGTAAACCTATCATTTGCAGTTAGAAGTTTCGTAGCACGATTTTGGACCTTTTCCAAGGCATTGATGTCCATCTGATAGTGTAGAGTCCACACCTGCACAACATATACCATTAAGGGTCTGATAAGGGTTTTATAAAGAGGAAAGAAAATGTGCTTATCCATATACGTAAATGTTTTTCTAATTCCACCAACCGAAGAATTAGCCCTAGCAACAACCTTGGTAATGAGTCGATGGCTTTTAGATCTGGAGTAATAAGTTTTTCCAAGATCACGCTGCTCAGTGACAGCTAACAGCTCAATGTTCCCATAGTGTCAGTGGCGGCTCTAGGATATAATTTATGGGGGTGGGGGTGCTAAGATGTCTGACTGGGGAGCTAGCTAAGTATATATGGGTGTAACTATAGCGTGCAGCGTTATCTGAGGGCCGACTGCCCGACGAGCTTTGGCCGATGGGGGGTGGGGCTTGACCAGATCGATGGGGGTTAAGCCCCCTGCTCCCCACCCCGCTGGCGCTGCCACTGCATAGTGTAAGAACATTTTGGGGTTCTAGAACCAACAAGAAGGATGTTACACTTAGTCTCATTGAAACTCACAAACCTTACTGCTCCATTTCAAAAGTTTATCTATATCTTTTTGAAGAATATCAGCATTCATTTTTGTTTTAATCGTCCTGTAAACCTTTGCGTCATCTGCGAAAACCTTACCAGAACTACTCATATCTTCTAACAAATCATTGACATAAATAAAAAAAGGATTGATCCAAGGACCTACCCCTGTGGTACTCCAGAGGTAACAGAAACTAAAGATGAATAAGTACCTTTAACATTGACAAATTGTCGACTTTCCCACGAATACCAAATGCAGATATTTTAGCTTTGAGGCCCAGTCTAGGTAGATGACGTCTGTTAGGAGACCATCATCACGATCACAATGGAGATCATGAAAAAACTCAAGCAATTGAGCTAGGCAGGACCTACTGTACGTGAACGGGATCCATGTTAAGAGGAAATAAGAAGACCAACATTTTCAAGATGGTTTACGACAGCATTTTAAACGATTTTTCAAAGATCTTACAGATAACTGAGGTGAGAATAATTGGCCTATAATTAGTCGGATAATTTGGGGATCCACCTTTAAAAATAGGTGTCACAACTGCATCTTTCCAAATTTTTGGAAGAGAGCCAGAAAGGAAAGACTCTTGCTAAAGATAATGTAAAGAGAAAGAGACAAGGGGATGAACATCATCAGGGCCAGGTAATGAGCAATTTTTTAGTTTCTTAATTATTTCTGCATTTCTGCTTTTTCAGAAGTCTGGAAAGCTCATTTCCCGCCATCCAAGAATCAACATTTTCCCGGACCCCCTTTTTAATACAATGAAAGGCGTTTCCGGTTAGTCGGCTGGTGTATTTTGTTTTTAAGTAGGTATCCCCCAGGGGCGGATTTAGTGGGGGGGGGGCGCCCCGGCCCCGGTTCCCCTTTTGAGAGGTAAAAAAAAAAAGAAAAAAAAAAAAAAGGGAAAAAGAAAAAAACGATAGCCCAGAACGCCTCAAATATTATTTTCGGGCGTCTAAAACACAGAAATTTTGCGGGGCATGCCCCGGGACCTCCTATTTTGAGTGTTGTCTCGATCGGCCCAAATTTCGGTCCCCCCTTTGCCCCTCCCCCACTTTTGGACATCTCTGGATCCGCCCCTGGCCCCGGACCCCCTTTTTTGTCGGTTTTATGAAAAAAAGTCTGATCCCCTCCCCTTATCGTATCGTATAAAATAGTAACAGTAAGCAACACTTTCCTGAGCATATTACCACTTTACATTAAATACGTTCGCAGTAAGGTCAAGGACTGTCTCTTATACACATCTAGATGTGTATAAGAGACAGGTCCCATACCGTACGTAAAATCGAGGTTCTACTGTATTGCATTATAATTTAATATCAGGCAGCCCACAGAGATCCTACTACATATATACTTTTTTTTAGTTATAAAATGTGGAAAAAAAACTAGTAATTAAAAACTCCAATGGGTTTCAGCTTTTGTGATTAAGGCGCTGGCCTATCATTAACGTCGTAAAACCTCTAACTGAAGCCTTTGGCTTCTATTTTTTGTGAGCTTTCGATGGGCTTCTTTGCGATGCCACTTTTGCAAAGCATCAGTCGAGGGGATTTTAAGTAATTTTTAACTACTTGACCGTGATTTTTTGGAGACGACTGGGGGGATGTGAGTAATTTTTTATTTTGGGGAGGGGGCGTGCGCCTTAATTCGCGCCTCCTCTAGATACGCCACTGCTCGTTGGTAAGGTTATGCAAGTCATGGTATATTACTAAAACAAGCAACGGTTCATAATGATTACAACATACCGAAACACTGGTAATTAAGGTTTTAATGTTGGAGTTGGAACGCTGGATTGCCTCATTCTACAGACGTGTTTGCAAACAAGTCCATTGGCACGCGTGCGCTGCCAGACAAATGATGAGGGCTCATGATCACCAAATAGATACTTTGCAACAATTAATGTATGTAGGCCTGTAAACTTGACTTTTCATTACTGGGAACTGCAAAGAAGAAAAAAGAACATTGTTTTTCAGTATTGAACTACATACTGTACTGAAAAACACGCTAAAAATATATTCAAATTACTGTAATTGTAATTAAAATTTTTGATACAAACAATCGTAATAATCATACTGAATAAAATACAAAAAAATAATTATGTATAGGGCCTAGTCAAGAATCGTTTAAAAGACAAATTAATAAACTCAATTATAAAACACACATGAAAAACAGAACCCTTTAAAAATTACTTTCCAACATTATCATCATCACTGGCATTAGTGCGTCCATCGGCGTTCCATACTGCGGCTGTTATCGGGATTCGCGACCGAAATCGCCGAAATGCATACCGCCGAAATATCTGTATTCGCTAGTAGTAGGCTAGGGTAGCACAGCCCTCGCAGTTTTTTTTTCTTAATAATTAATCAATAAGATGACAATATCTTGTGTACATTTGAAAGCAGATGCCTATATGGTATGTCTTACTCATGCTCTTTCAACAGAAAGAGAAGAAGTCATGGGACTTTGCATAGGAGAAGTAAGTATACCTCGCCTCTGTTTTGTCTGTATTGTATTGTAGGGCCTAGGATAGGAATGCCTAGGCCTAGTAGTGTAGGCCTAGCCTAGGCCCCTAGACCGCATTACACGTCTATACCTAGGCTAGGCTCTCCCGTCAGGCAAATCCTGGCGCCTCCCCTGGTATCTCCATACAGTGGTGAAAAAAATCCCAGACGCTAGGCCTAATCAGCCAAGCGCTACGCGCAAGCCCTTTTTCAGGTGGGATCCACGTGCTGTGAGGGCCCCGAAAGAATTCGATCGAACTCGGCCACAAGTCAACTCGGCCACAAGTCATCTCGGTCACAAGTCATCTCGGTCACAAGTCAACTCGGCCTCAAAATGTTCGGCTACAGTCAACTCGGCCACAAGTCAACTCGGCCACAAGTCGACTGCAGCCTATTTACTGGTACTACACTTTGAAGGAGTAATTCATGAAGTATAAAATACTAATTCTTTAAAGTATTACTATAAATTATTAATATTATTGCTGTTAATATTATTGTTGTCATTGTTGTTATTATTATTGTTGTTTTTATTACCGTTAGTTTTAATATTAATTATTATTCTTAGCATATTTGAATTGTTTAATAAATTTTTACCATATAAATAATAATTTTCGATTTTTTTATTCATATTATTATTATTCATATTATTATTATTATTATTATTATTATTATTATTATTATTATTATATTAGTCTTAGTATTATTATTTTAATAATTTTAAACTAGATATTTAAATATCGTTATTATTACCAATTAGTATTATTACTATTAGTATTGTTAAAATATTATTACTAATTATATTGTTGTTATCACCTTTATTATCGTTATTATGACTAATTAGTACTCTTAAAGTGAATATTATTAACTTATTGTCGTTATTGTTTAATATTATTGTTGAAGTAGAATGTTACGATACGATACAATACGATATTCTTTATTGTCATTTGAACAACAGGGTACAAATGAAATTCAAGTGATTGATCAAGGTACAATTTCAGAGAGGAATAAAGAAAAAAGCAAACTAACAAAGAACTCCAAAGAGACATGTTCAAATAACTTTAAATCTAATGAATCATATTGAATTCTATAAAAGGAGATGTTATGGGCAATGCCTAAGCTCCACTAACCATGTTGGAATGTCTATGATACGTGGATGACAATAAGTAAAATGAAAAAATTAATTAATTAAATAAAATGTATAATTGAAATTAAATATGAGAAGATGTAAAGGGGTGGGTGGCAAAAGTCAGGGAGAAATTGAAAATGACAATGGGCAAAATGTCCAGGGGAAACCAGCCTGCTCCCGATGATGACATAGGCCTAATTAATGTTGAATTGTAGCCTATTTTAATACTTGGAGTACTGTATGTATATTGTTCTGAGATTAATCAGTGGACCTGTCAGTTTTTATAAATATTTAGTGGCAATTTTTATGTCTATAGGCCTACTGCTGTATTCATTTTTACGACTATGAATATTCTTATTACTATAGTTTTCGTCGTGGGTTTTCCTTTAAATTTCATCGATAGTTTCATATACAGTATTTTGTTTTTCAAATGTTATTGTTTCAGTGTTAGTAAGTAACTGTCATTTTGGATCTAATCTAAACAAGATTTGAACTCGTCACTGAGGACGAGTTAGGTGATCCGCCGCACTTTGACCCTCATTAAGATCACGCGGTGCTGATTGAAAAGTGTCATAATATGCTAAAATATGCTGTAATTAGTCTTTTTAAAAAAGAATAATTTTGAGCATTTTAAAAGATTTCCGCATGTGTACACGTACGTCTTGACGCCCATGAGCACGGTAATAGCACAAAGAGTGACTCCTGATATGAATAATGTGTCAGGAACACAAAGTATGTAACAAAACGTGATTTCCAGCTATAATATGTGCTGTGTGCCTAGAAATGAACGTACGGCGGGTAAATTATGGAAAGTTTTGAAACGCTGAAAATGACCCGAAACGTTCTTTAAACTATCTGAATAGTAATATGGAGAAGACACGCACGTCATCATGTGTGCGTGTACAGTAAGAGCACACGAAATTAAACATTGTCAAGTGTATTTAAAACCGCCTGTTAGTTGGTAATGCCACACGAACTTTCCCTTCACATAACCTATATATATTAGTCTGATAGCGTCGAAATGCAGTCTGCCGCCCTCACTCTGTTCTATTGTTTTACATCTTTTAAGAATGAGAGATAAAAGGGCTACGAAAATTCATTCTTTTTAACCATGTTGACGTGATCAAAATGAAAAATAAAGGGACACGTCTTCAAGAGAATTGATTTAGCTATAACATATTCACAGGTGGGAGACAATCAATCAAGAACAAGCGAGATACGTTCAAAAGAGTATAAACATAATGGCGTCATAAATAAAAATTCAGGTTTATAATTCAAATGGCAATATGATGACGTCACAATGTCCGATCAGCCATTATGAAGTAAAAAAATCGTATCTACAACTCATGTGCTTTCAGATTATGTAATAAAAATTGGGGGTCACCTTTCTTCCCAAGGTGCTATAATTGATTAAAAAAATTCATGGTTTTATGCATATATAAATGTTGACGCACGCGTACGTGCACGCTAAAAAGCGCTAACGGAAAACTAAGGTACATAACATTCAACCTTGACCTGAAGCTTATGCTCACCTAATATGATTTAGAAATGACGAATGGTTAAGATTATATGGGGTCATCAACGTTTTGAAGAAAGAAAAAATGAGGGGGTCAGAAAAAACAATTTTTTTGACCATGATAACGTCATCAAAATGTAAAAAGAATTCAAATATATGAAAGAGAATTGTCTCAGCTATAACATACTCAAAGTTGGAAGACGATCGACCAAGGATAAGCGAGATACGTTCAAACGAGTATAAACATAATGGCATCATAAATAAAAATTCAGTTTTTTAATTCAAATGCCAATATGATGACGTCAAAATGTCCGATCAGCCATTATAAAGTAAAAAATCGTATCTACAACTCATGTGCTTTCAGATTATGTAATAAAAAT